TTTCCCAATGCCTCCTTGCCCTGCTGGGCATACTGCTCAAATGTAGTCCTTTGATATGAAATGGCATGAACCCTCTCCAATATTTCACGATATAAAGTGAAACGATGTGACATAATAATCATATCGATTTATGGGCGTAGTCCACTTTCAAGCCTCATGATCTTCTTAACTTCTGTATCTACCAAGTGTGGGGCATACCTTGAGAGCTGCTCAAACTGCATTTTGTAAGCGTTACCCTGTTTGAGCTGTAGAAAATCTAATTTCTTAAAATCTCTTAAAGCCTGTGAAAAGTACTTCGACATCACTTCATCCTTAAACTGCTCCCAAGTCATGTTATGCTGTTGCTCTTCGATCTTAATTAATGAGACAGATTTCCACCAGTGACTGACAGCTACCTACGAAATTACTCAACTACTGAAACAGCTCCAGGTGCAAACGGAGATGCATCTTGCAGTGGTGGTGCATTTTGCAGTAAAGGCGCTTGATTCTGTCTTCTCAACTCTTGTACCGCTCGCAACAAATCACACATCAAATTCATGTGGGTAGGTGGTGTCATATCCTAAAATTAGTATTATTTTACACGTTATATAATAGGTGCACATATAAATTCATCACATTAATTGGGAAATCCTAGAAATCAATTAATTAATTTTTTTTACATGAATAGTGCACGTGCACTGTTTTCAAATATATTATTATTTAAAAAAATCAATTTTCTACTGTTCATCGTGACAGTGACACGCTGTCATTGTTCATCACCTTTTCTTTTCTTTTCTTTTTTTGAAAAAAAAACTCAAATTATAAAAAAAATACATGTGGGTCTCCAGAAATTTAAACAAGGCTCTGACACCAAACTGTAACGACCCAAATTTTACATTCATTCAAGTCGCTACCAAATTCATAACAAATCATATTTCCGGTAAAGTCCAATTTTAGAGATGATCTCACACATGATATCATATTATTTTAAATCATAACCAACAAATATAATAATAATTGACAAAAAAATTCATGTCTTAAATAATGAATTAAAAGTTCTAATGAATTAAACTAAATATAATGCTGAAATTAAAGGTGTTTGTCACGTGACACCAAACTTAATTTATAGAGTCCAATGAAGCCAGGCATCACGACTGCATCTCATCGTCGCCAACCAACGACCCGTGCTAACCTGTGAGGAGTAGGGGAAAGGATGAGTATATGAAATACTCAATAGGATACGGAAATATTGTGCAATCATGAATAAAATATTTAAACTATGCGTCGAAAATATCATACCGTTATATCATATCTTTAGAAACTTTCATACCATCATATCATATCGTAACCTTCATTAGCATAATATTTATCAACATGAAAATAAATAATTTAAACGGGATAACATTAGTTACACCTCACAATCCTACCTTTGTTCTTAAAAGGAGTTGTTGGAAGAAGAGCAAGTATTTCACGTTTTCAAAGCCTTTCTCTGTTGTCATGTCTAAGTATGTGTTTCAGTAAAAAAAATATCTTTCATCTATTATTCTCAACTTGGGCTTCTTATTTTAGGTATACTATAATCATTCCATGAGTGAACTATCCATAACTCTTCTATCACAATATTTGGACACAAGTTTTCCTATATAGTGGCCTAAAATTGCTCATTGTTTCAATTAGGGGTGTCCAAAAGTCCCGAATCGAGCAGGACCCGAACGGTTCTTCATAAGTTAAATACCCGAACGGGTACCCGAATCAAGAACCGATAGGTTTGGGTCGGGTCGGGTCGGGTCTCGAG